TGCAACTTTTGGAAGGGGCAGTTCACTTTAAGGATTTTGCGTCACGTGATCGCACAGTGACGCTAGCAAATGGAAAGATTTTAATGGGATGGTAATGTTTTGCCATGTGCATTCAGAATTCTAATGTATGTGTCAGTATTCTGGTCCACAGTGAAGATAAAATTGGTGGAATTTATTGAACTGTTACTTCTTGTGTTCACAGGGGTGGTGTGTGTGTCATTTCTTTGGGTCTGGAAGGAACGTCATGATGCTGATGGATCACTGGGTGGTAAATTTATAACAGCATATTCATTGAAACATTTATGTCAAGAGTTCCAAACCCAGCTCCTGACCTACATGAATAACTGTGCAAATGCGTATTATGCTGTGTGGAGATTGATGATATCTTAAATATATTAGTGACACTGTATAATATTAACATATATTAACTTTTACCAAGTAATTTTACTGTTTCTTGTAGACTGTGGCAAGATGATGGTGCAGTGAGGTCTTGTTTGAAAATAACCTGTCCCTCTGCATCCATGAGGGGTTGAAGTGATTGATGGTCATCCATGTTCATTGGACATATGCACAGGAAGATCTTGCAGAGTTTATAGAAACTAAAGGGGGAAGATGACTGTTTTTCAGCAGGCTTATAAAGAGATGATCAAAGACCTGAGAGGGAACTGAAGTACAATGAAACCCTCATTAGTGCTTTTCATGCGAGATTAACCTCACGTAACATTCGGTTTTGGTGATGTTGTGTCAATAACCTCATCGTTAAATTACATACATGCAAGAATCCACTTCTTGGCAAAGAGACCTTAAATAGGAGATTTACTGTATGCAGACCTGCATCTGTATGCCATTGTAACCATCACCAATCGCAGAAACATGCCTCTCCATATGTCACGGGATGTCTGGACGAGGATTCAGCACTGGAAGAAGCGCAGCAGTTGTGTAAAAGAGGTTCATCTGCCAACGCTACAGACGGTGAGATGGGTAAACTACCGCATCGTTCTCCGCCACAAGATACTGGTCTTGCAACTAGCCTTACAAATGTATATTATCATTATTATGATGCTTGAAGTATGTGTTGGTCAAAATTAATGACCTGTGTTTGAATTATATGTAAGAAATTTAGATTTATTTACAGGAGTGGGGAGGTATTCATGTAGATGGCAAGCCTGGTGCAGTATGTCAATATTCATGGCAGAAGTATATGCCGTTAACCCTGTGTGGGCCAAGTGTTTGGACAGCTTGAGAAAAAATATGAATTAAATGACATATATGTACACCTGTAACCTAACCTAGCTATAATGTTATATTTTAGCGTCCTGTTGCACTGATTTTCATCCATGATATGTATCCAGTGGCCGTCTTGTAGTGCACTCAGTTTCACCTGTCACTTCACAACATGTTTCGGCAACACAGTGCCATCATCAGGTGTCCCAATTACGTTAATCTATTGCATTCCTTGCCCTCGTATGTTTTCACAACACAATTTAAAAAGTATTTAAAAAGTCTGTATTTGTCAACTATGATAAATTTACACTCACTAAAACTTAAGATAATTCATCTTATTTGTCTTAATTAAAACTTGCATGTGGTTCGTTCACTATGGGGTCATTTTTCTTTTTTTCTGTGTAAACCGCATCTTGTGATGTGTGTTCCCTTCTTAGCTGCGAATGTTGACAGCAATTTAAATACTTTTTAAATTGTGTTGTGAAAACATATGAGGGCAAGCAATGCAATAGATTAACGTAATTGGTACACCTGATGATGGCGCTATGATGCCGAAACATGTTGTGAAGTGACAGGTGAAATTGAGTGCACTACAAGATGGCCACTGTATACATATCATGGCTAACCTAGCTAACTTATAACAGAATGTACTGTTATTTAATGTAACCTGCCCTAAAGTAACTTTAACCAAGCTAATAAAACTAACCTAAGATAACATATCGAGGAAAGTACATATATGTCCATAGAACAGAAAGGGTCAAGGTGTGTATACTTCATAAGCTTCATGAATTTAGCCTATAGGTTTGTATGAGGTTCACCCTGCACTGTACCTCACCATCCATAGGAGTACACAAAGCACAGAATAGGCCAATTTTAGGAGAACACACATTGAAAAAAAATGTCTTTGCATCAGTTATGTTGATACTGATAGACATCTTGCCCAGGTAAAGGGATATGTGGTTGGGGTGAATGGGGGTGTGGGGCAGCCATGTACTATATTTTAGATTTATGGTTGTCTGCTTTGATATTGTGATAAGTGTAATGCCAAAACTTGTAGTTGAGATTGTATTGCTTACTTCGATAACCAGAAGTTAATGGATATATAAGACCTTTATCCTTGTGTATGTGTGGCTGGCTGGCTATCATTGTATGATAGAGGTCTTGTAAAGTGCTATGTACTTCTATGTGGATTCTAATTTTGTTATTGCTGTTTGGAAAATATTTCAACATTCTGTAGACAGAAATATGTTTGTTGCCAAATGACATGAGACATTCTCATAATCACTGTCAATTTGTCAGTTATGAGGTTAGGGAAAGAATGTCCCACATATTTATGTATAGAATTGATTTGTGTTAAGGCCAGGAGAGTTCACTGATTGACTACTGTTATAATTGCATGAATTTCTGTTCTACTTGCTGCCTCAGTGGCAGAGCATATGGATTGTGTATGAATGAACTGTATGTTACCAGTTTCTGAAGACATGAGCTATCAGATTTTCCATCAAGATATGTATGTTTTTTTTTATAATGGTGTATTGTTATGTCTTTATTTGAGGATGTGTCATTCATTAGGAGATGACTGGACCAATTGTGTCAGTATGAATTGTGCATTTCCAGAGGAAGGATTCTTAATACTGGTGGTATTTCAGTTCAGAAAAATGTGATGGATTGTATGTGTTGCGATCTGTTGGATTTGTTTTACTTTGGAATACATATACTTCATATTTGTTTGACAGTTTGTAATACTCTCCTGAGTGCAGTAGTGTGTAAGTATTCATGTCTGTTGATCTTTTCAATTTATTGGAAGAGTGGCAAGTCAGGTAAATTTTATGTAAGAAGGTAAGCTGAAAACAAAAAATTAGTATTTTATTGAAACATGTGGAAGACGAATGCGAATTGTAGTCATAACAGTGGCGGTCCTTTGGTAAGGCACTGGTGTATGGTTTAGAAGGTACATGGTTCAAAGATATGACTATTTTTGTGGGGAGGGGGGGGGGG